GACGGATGAAATCTACGTACGCAAGTACTAGTACGAGAAACAGAGAAAGAAATTAAAAAAAAAAAAAAAAAATAAGGATTCTCATTCTTTCTAAAACATTTCGTTCACGCTCTAAAATTTTTCAATTCACTCCCCTTTCTTTTTCTCTCTCTTTCACTCTCATACTCTTATTTTCTCGTTTTTTTCTTTCACTCAGTCTCGCTCCCTGTGGATCCATCGTGAAACATTGCGCTCGTGACCTCGAAGCGTAGCATTCGCACAGTCGACATCATGCGGTACGCGAAATGAATAAAAAGAGAAAAGAAAGAGAGAGAGAGAGAGAGAAAGAGAGAGACAGGAAGGAGAAAAAAGAAAAGTACAGAAAGAAAGAGGGTAGGGGGAGGGGGCGAAAGAGACGCCGAAAACCTCCGTTGCCGCCGCCCCCCCTCTCGCGAGCTGCCAAATATCGATCTGCATTAAAGCGTATTAAAACACAGGCGGCCACGCTGTTTCCGCGGACAGGCTCGGGTATATCGAACGCGATGCTTCGAGCCGATGCACGCGGAACCGCGCGGGAAAGTGTATCGTCGCCGGTCTTTATGCCGGCGTTCCGACTTTCCTCTGCAACGAACATATTTCCCACGTGTGCCAGAACTCATTACCGATTCCCGCGGTTCTCTGACCCACGATTTTTCCACGCTGATCCGCCGCGGATCGCCCTTTGACGTACGATTTCGTTAAAGGACTTTTAGGTCATTCGCTAAGCAAAATGGCTTTCTCCCCCTCCATTATATAGAGCAAGCTAGAAGCGTTATTTGCTTGAGAATTTAGAACGAGATTTCTTTTTTCTTTTTTTTTTTTTTGCGAAATTCGTCCGCGAGACGAATTTTTTTTAACTATTGTAGAATTATACTTAAACGTCGAATACCATGAAGAATGATGATTCTTGATTCTCAATGTGCGCATCAATATCGAATGAATTTGATCTAACAAATTTTACGAAATAATGTAACTTCAGAAATCGTACTTATTTATTGCAAATTGTATGCCTGGACATTGAACGTGTTAATCTGCCAACTCGTGTAACTGAATGGACTTTTCTAAACCTCTTAGTTTAGAAGAAACGGTGCAATTCAAAGAAACTCAAGTTACAAGCATCTAGCGGAACATTCTGCACATTTGCCAAGTAATTAATACAACTGGAATGACCTAAAGCAATTTTACGTTCAATACGTGGGAAAGAGAACTGGTCTGCCACGGGCATTCCCTTTCATTCTATTCTTTTCAATTTCCGCGTCATGCTTTCGCAATTCAGCGGCCTGCCCCGACGCCGTCGCGATTTTCATTAATTACGAAGAAGAAACAGAACGAAGGAAAAACGGCCAGGCGACAGTCCCGTACAAGACAGATGCAAACATTCGACAACACAACATATGTACATACCGCTTACGTATAATATAGAAATACGTACAAAGAAACGAGCAAAGACGGGCAAGACGCGGCCAAGAGTTCGAGATGGACGCATACACATACAGGGATCGTGGAGAAAGACAGCAAGAGATCACGCGTGACTCCGAGCGAACGATTCAACACGGTCAAATACCGTTTCCAAGCGTTTGACAGAGGCTTGAAGAGAAATGTAAGTTTCCTCTCTGTATCAATCGTTTTGAATTAGCCCGAACCGCTTCAAGGCTATTTGAAGTGTCTGGTAATTAATATCGCTCGCGATAAACGCATACCGTATAGGTATCGCACGAGACACGAAGCAATTTATTCGTGAAAGAAACGCGGGCCGTAGCTTTACACCTGGAACAATCGTCCGGCTAAAGGGCACTCGAGCGATAATTAAGTCCTCGGGTTTCCCTTCGAACGTATTAGAAATACCGAAGGTATATCGAATTCTTTCAGCCCCCACCCCTCCGAGAAAAAGAGAGCATTGAACTCCGAATGCAATTAAGAAGCAAGTAGGCACTTGATACTTAATAACTCGGGGAGATAAATTCCACTCTCGACCCGAATCCCCGGACAGCTACGAACGAGCCTCAATTAGCCGGGGTTCAGCGTGTAAGTAGCAGCAGCAGTGGTTCGCGTTCATTGAAAACCAACCTTTCCTGTACCCTTTCCCCACAACCACTTCAATATCTTTCGGTTCTATGTTTCAAGTTTCGCTCGGAGTCGCGTGTGTACAAAAAGAAGGGTTGCATCATCGGGCAAAAAAAGGACAAAAGACGATCGATCAAGTAGACGGAATGCATGGCGGCTCCTATTTATATATAAAAAGAAAAATAAATAAATAAATAAATAAAACGGGCATGGAGCGGGGTTGCATGAAAATGCAGTATCATACTTGGAACGAACATTTATAATCGATATGCATACATATAACATATGTATGATATGTACGATATATGTATATATATATATATAAAAGCGGGTCATAAATCAATGCACAAGAGCTCGCGTAAACTATCCGAGATCAATTCCACGCAGAAATTGTTTATTCTCTCCCGTGCCACGAAACACGGCGTGTTTGGTTGTTGCTGTTGTTATTTTTCTTTTTTTTTTTTTTTTTTTAACTTTTTCTTAACGTGCCAGCGGTGTCCTTACCCTGAAGATAGGATCTCCAGACAAGCTGTCGGGGCTAAATGTCTCCCAAGTTCCATTCTCTAGTAACGTATCGATCGAAAGGTCGAACTCCCGCGAGCGGTTCCTCGATTTCTGTCGAGAACGAGAGAAGGAAGCCTTTTAACTTTCGCATTATCTCCGCTAATTCGCTTTCATCCCTCTACTCCGCGTTTCTCTCTCTCTTTTTTTCATCCCCCTGCTCTCCCCCTTTCTCTCTATCCTGTCGACCGAACGCAGTTGTTGGTTCTGACCAGTTGATCTTTCCCGAGAACCACTAAACCGCTCGGGACTTATTATTGGCATGCTGGTAAATATCCCTCTGACGAAAATTACGGTGAACGACGCGAGCGAAATACGTTGCCGGGGCAATACGAGAGCTTTTACTCGATCAACTGTGTACTTTGTAAGAATCGATACAACGTACGACGTACGCGCGGCACGTTCGCGCTGACCGAAGAGTGAAATACTCGCTCGCCTCGTAATAAACGGCGATCGATCGAAATTACGGAAACGAGCAACCGTAAGTGGGTGTCCAACGGTGAAATCGAATCTGGCCCCGACGAAATTCGACGCTTGCCAAGGGGAATTATATTAAATATTCCCGCTATATTGTAAAAGCATTGTCACCGTTGACATCGGATTATCTTCTGCCGATATAACGCCATTTATTATCTTATTTCCCCCGGCGATTTTCCAATCACGCAAATATTTAACGAGCCTCGGTACACGCGCGCAACAACGTAATTCCCGCCTGGCGAGATTAATAGAAATTTCGGATTTCAAACAACAGCAATCTATACAGCACGTGTACGAACGAAACGAATTACGATTGATTAGAGACGATTTCATTCCGACCGATATGCGCTACATTTAATACAAGAATTCTACGTTGAAGTTTATATGTTCCGCGAATTTTTGAATTCTTGTTTAATTAAAATGCGGTCGCAAACGTGTGCACAATAAAAACACGTGTTGAATAAACGCAGGACGTTTTTGCAATTATGCTTGACGTTATTAAAACTTCAGGATTAGAACTTGCGTTATATATAATAACTTAAGTCGCGCACAAACGTTTTCTCTAGCTCGTGAAATGTTGAATAACAAAATACAGGAATAAACCATAAATTTATCACTCTATTATATCCGCGGACGAATTCGTTTCAAATCGTTTCAAAATATGTCGCGCGTGTAATGATCTAAACTCGAAACTTACGATAACGTTTAGAACTCGATTTGGGAATTTAATTCCGATTTTACTATTCAATAGACATCGTACGAACATACTACAACCATGAAAATAACTGAAGACGTAATGGCTGATCTGACTTGCCTGTTTTCAAACAGGTAACAACAAGACGCGTAACCGGCGATAGTCGAGGCCAGGATCGATCGCCGATTCCGAAGACCGAGCGGTGGACCAAGGAGTCGTCACAAAGGGAACTCGTTAACCGCGATTTCCGTTGTCGGGGAAGTTGTCGACGCGTGAAACGCGCCACCACGTAGCCAGGGGTGTATCTTCTCGCCGTAAATCCGAGGGACGACAAGACTGCGGGAGAAGAGACTCGTGCGAGGGTGTCCGTGTGCTAAATCTCTCCACCCTTTTACGCCGCGGTAGTCGCCGGTGGGTTACTTTGATCACGCCGTGAACAAGAAGCGTCTCCGACAGAGAACACGTCCGATAACGAGCGATCGACCCCATTCTTCGTCACCTTTTCCTTTTTCTTTTCTTTTTTTTTTTTCTTCTTCTTCTTTTTCCTTCGCCGCGTGCTTCGCGTCGGACTTTCTCGAGAGACTCGAGAACGCTTGTGTTCGTGCGACCAAATTGCGTACAAAATTAAGACAGACTCCAAAGCAATCGCCAACAAATGTGGGTGAGGATGGGGAAAACGACGTTCCGGTATCGATACAGTCGGGTCTGCTGGAAGATCTTTGGCTCTCGTTACAGAAAAGCGTGAAGGTGACTGACACTATTCTCGGACCGAAGTCGAGAGCGAAGCTGGTCCGTTCGAAGCGAACGCTATTGATCTCGAGGAAAACTGGAATTTCAGATCGATCGCAGTTGCTCAACTTTGATAGATTGCATAATTTAATCTCTGGATTTTAACCTCTTGCCTTGAGATTCATTTTTTAAAAGTGGAGTCTCTGCGTCGAGTTGTCACAAAATAAAACTATTTCAGTTCTTATTGAATATATTTAAAAGAATAATGGAAAAAAAGTATCAATGAAATTAAGAAAAAAAAAAATACTAAAATGAAAATTATTATAAATAGAATTAACAAAGTATTTAAATTCATTTTTAGTCTTATTTATTTTTCATAATAATTGCCTCTAACTCTTGAAGTGTGTAATAGTTCTCGAATTATTTAAACACAACAATTGTTTTATTGCTAGAAAATTTCAGTGCATTAAACTCACAGAATAACTGAATAAGGAAAAATTACTATTTCATTCCACAGAACGCCTAGCACCGTTATCTTCATTGAGAAAATTTTACAGAGAGAAGAGAAATTTATATTAATGGTTTTTAAACATTAAATATGCGGTCGAGACTCGTCATTTCCACTAAAGTGGTCAAGCTGCTACATTTCTCTGAGAAACGCTATCTAAAAATCTATCTAAACTGAGATTTAATTCCGATGATCCAAGAATTAGAAGCAAATCTCGACAGACAGTCCTGTCACATCAATGGACTGCCAAGAGCTTGGCTCGAGTTGAATTCCTCTGCTCGGTAGCGTTCACTTCCGGCCGGCTCGCGATCGACTTGAAGGAAGCACGCGAGTCAAAGTTGCAAGTCGGCTGAGAGAACGATTTCGCCACTGCTTATCGTTCACGGTGCAAGCTTTTAACCCTTTCGCTACGGGCCGATTTTTCCGAAAGTGTGCACTTGCGGAAGATCTGCAATATCGCCGGTAGAAACGAAAAGGTGAAAAAATTATCACATAATACAATTAGAAAATATAATTTAATAATGTAATTTCGTATGGAAAGTTTCAAAACACGGGTATATACTATAGTAACTGATCGTACATAACGAGCATCAATCGTTGAGTGACTATAGTTACCGCTCGTAGCGAAAGGGTTAACGATCGACTCCCGTGATCCCCTCTGGCCTGGGCATATATACGTACATTTGGAGACGAGTGACTGGTTACTCCTGCGTCACAGGACGGGGAATGATTCTTCACGAGCGAACGGATGATATATGTATATATACAAGATACAGGGGATTACTTCTAATACAGGTGTGACAAAGAGACAGAGAGAAAAAAAAAA